ATTTCAACTGCCATAATGATAGTGCCAGGATATATTTCTGATTTTGTCATGGAAAATCCTCCATTCTGAGCTTTTTACTTTTAACAAAAGTTTGGCTTAAGTTGAAATAAACTCAACAATATCAGAGCATAATTATATAAATTTGATTGTCAGTAATTATTGCATGCTAATAATAAATGTAAGGTTAAAGTGTACCACCAATAATTAAAAGTACCAAACAAATTTGCAAGGCTCTTTAAATGCCCTTGAGGATAAATGATTGACAAATGTAACATTTCTAATACATCTTCAAAATTGATTACTCTATTTTTAGTCTTCTCTTTATATACTAATTCCCTATACTTATGAACTTAATTATAAAATTAATTTTGTAATTAATTACCTTTCCAAAGTCATCATAGGATTTTTAAAAATATTACAATTTGGTCCATATTTCTCAGAGGTCCAATATTTCTTTAAAGAGAAATATTCATGTAGAATATTCAAAATTGATAAAACAATTGTTAATGATCAGGTCATATTTTTAGATCCATTTGAACTACTTTCTTTTTTTTTTCTTTCTTGTATAGGACCTTCAAAATGTATTGACTATGTGCTATGAAGTATTGCTAAGTAGTTGTCAAATTATTGCATCAACACCCAATAAATAAGATAACATAAAAATGCTTACTGGAGGTGACAAAAACTTGTAAAGACTTGAACCCCTAAGGGCGAGAAATACTGGAGAATACATCTTCTCCTGAAGGTGATCCTGCTCCCGTGCTTCACACCAGCCCATGTAGACTATCTGTAAGAAAACTGAAGACCATTAACCAACAGAACATTTTCATTTCAGGTACATTTATGTGCTCTACATATCTCACTGCCATCAAGTCCATGCCAACTCATAGCGGCCCTATAAGACAGGGTAGAACTGCCCAGGTGGGTTCCCAAGGCTGTATTTTTTCACTGGATTAGAAAGTCTCATAATTCTCCCCTGGAATGGGTGGTGATTTTGAGCAGCCCAAAGCAAAACTACTATATCACCAGAGAACCATGCATAGCACTTTGTATTTTAATCTGTTAAAAAATTAGGAAGTGAATTAAAGACAAAAAATACATTAAATCAGATTTTCCTTCAATAAAGGAATGAGAATTCCTCATCATAGATGATAATATGATTCATAAGTATTTTCAAAGTATTAACTTATTTGTGATCCCACTTGACCTTAAATATATGTCTACCAGTCTCTACAAATATTTCGTTGCATAGAATCTATCACTCCATCCCACTAACTTTTTGATAATAAACAAAATTCACTGCCATCAAGCCAATTCTGACTCATAGAGACCAGACAGGACAGAGTAGAACTAACCCTTTCTGAGGTTTCTGAGGCTGTAAATCTTTACAGGGC